TTGTCGTGTAAACGTAGCCTAAGTCTCACGCAGGTGCAACATGCAGCGACGGTTTGGTTTTGTGTGAAAACATGACAGAAGGCTGAAAGAATGTCTGAATGAATGAATTCTATAAATGAATGTATGAATGAATGAATTCTCAAGTTTTGATGGGATTTACTTTTCATCTTCCCTCCATGTAATCCCTAATAAAGTGTTGTTTATCAGCGCAATAATGCTTTGGTTACAGAGGTAACCGGAAACAGCTCTATTTCTGCAATTCGACATAAAACTTGGTAAAATTATTTCAGAGTGTTTAATGAGTACTTTTTGAACATTTCCAGCACGTCTTAACAATACCGTGAAATTTAATTCAATTTTAATATGGTAAAAATGGCGTTATGCCTATAAGTTACCAGCATTTACACAACCTTAGCCAATGTTGTTTGAGCGTTCCCTGTTAGGTGGGAATTTTGAACACATTTGAAGCCACATTATTTTTGTCATACTTCGCTTAGCTTTAATAGCATTTCTTTCCACTGAAAGCTGTGCAGATATACTGTATGTAGGATACTGCAGTATATGCACTCTTAAAAATAAAGGTTGGCATCAGTGGTTCCATGAAGAACCATTAGCATCCATGAAATCTTTCCATTGCACAAAAGGTTCTTTACAGTGGAAAAATTCCTCAGATTATTATAAATGTACTTTACACTACGAAAGAAATGGTTATTGTAAGAACTGTTACGGTTCTTTGAGGAAGGTAAAATGGGTCTTCTGTGGCATGGCATCACTTTGAAAACCCCTTCTTGGAATCTTTATTTTTAAGAGTGTAGCAATTTTTCTAACCGCTGACACATTTCAGTCATGGCACGGTGTGGTATATTGTCAAAACGCTCTGCCTTATTTGATACTGAGAGCAAATGTAAATTTAAATGAAGGCAGTGCAGAGAATCCCCTGCAGAACTATAACAACGCTCGGTAGATGAACCCCCCCAGGATCATTTTGTTCTGATTAAGAACCGCACTTTTGTGGACTTTAGAGTTGGCGCTGTTTGAATTCAGGGAGGCTAATTAAATAGAAGTTATGGATTCACCGGAGGAGAGAATGACAAGAGGACCTTAAATGGATCATTTGCGTAAAGTCTATTGAATCATACTCGCAACTAATAGCTCAGGTTTAGGATACAATGAGGCCCAGAATTAAGCCTAAGTTATGTATTGGGGATGGGAGACTAACTAATTAAAAGTTTGAATAGGATGCGCACTGATTGTAAATGACTTCAGTGGGCGCTCGTAGGCCTACTGTTGATCTCAAGCTGTTCGAGCAGTTAATTAACCAAAAGAAGAAGACGTGGCGGAGCAAACCATTACAGATTGCAATTAATGCGATTTGCAAGGCATGCCAAGAGTGCGCAATCCTGCTTCGTTAACAAGAGAACGTCAGCTCGGGTCAAAGGGGTAAGATCGCTGTGATTTTTGTTTGTTTGTTAATGCATCATTAAAAGTGAAGAAGGCTTCGGCACAGAACCCCCGGTTCCCGCATCTTGAGATCGTCTCATTGTTTCTATGGCAACCCTTCTCTGCATACCGAGTCAAGGGGGGGAAGGAAAACGAGACTTGAGAAATGTGTCTTTCTTTGAGCTTTCCTTTTAAGTTTTTGTCTTCTCTTGGATGAGACGTACGACAGCTTGGCCTGTAAATGATGGTGGAGATAGTCGAAACCCCAGGTGAAAGACTGCGATTGGAATACAAAGGCAGGGAAAGAAAGGCAGAGGGTTGGACGCAGAGGAAAAAAACCTTCTCATCTCAGCTCGCCTTTGACAGTCAATTTACATCTGAGAATATCTCCCCAAGTTACGGCTCGCCCAGCTTAGCTTCGTGGCTCTTTGTAATTGTTACATGAAACATTTATATAAATCTGAACTGATAATCTACACTACAAATGCTTTTCAAAGAACAATGTTTTTGTAGCTGACTGAGCATCAAACAGCTAATTGGAAATATCCATTTTTTTCACATTCGAAAGGGATTTTATCGTAGATTAGCATGGCCTGTCATTTTTCAGATCGTTCTTCAAGGGCTTTCAGGGGGATTGACTTTTTAAAAGCATAAAAAGGCTGGTTGGCCATGGGAGGCTTGTTGGTTAGACTAGTTAAAAAGCCTAGATTCTTACCTGTTAATGTGTTTTTTCTTTTATTGTGATGAGTTTCCTATGCCTGTCAACGTCATGTGTTTCTTAAAAGACTTTTTCCAGTTGTGAGTTTCTGTGGGAAGGGCACTTAATAGATACAATTTTTTCCTATTTAAATTTTTTTTTTTACATATACTTTTATACATTTTAAAATAAATGTATACTTTTCATATTTAAAGATAAAATGTGAAAATGTAAAAAGTATACAATAAAACATTTTTTTCATATAGATGTATTTTGATATAGATGTTTTTTTGAGAATACTATTTAATACTTTTACTCAGCTAAGATGCGTTAAATTGGTCATAAGTGACAATAAAGATATGTATAATGTTACATTTATTTCAAATAAATACTGTTTTTTTAACAAACAATTCTTAAGAAACAAACAAAAATATTAAGCGCACAATGATTTTTAAAAAAGATAATAAATATTTCTTGAGCAGCAAATCAGCATATTAGAATGATCATGTGACACTGAAGACTGGAGTGACGATTCTGAAAATTCAGGCATAAATTAAATTTCAAAATATATTTAAACAGTTATTTTAAATGTTATCAATATTTCACAATATTACTGCTTTTGCTGTATTTTCGATCAAATAAATGCAGCCTTGGTGACAAAAGAGACTGTGTTGGGTTTGTAGAGCTTGAGGGATTTGTCATATAATATGATGTTTCTCAATCTCAATCTTTTACAAATCGATTGCTACTCATCGTTGATGTTTGAGAAACGGGATTTTGGTCCTGTGAGCACCCTATGTTGAAAGAAAATGAGAAAGTCTGACAGAGTGATATTTTGAACCTGTGTGAGAGCATGAGAAAGCTCGGCTCATTGTAAACTGTGATTGGACTTGATGAAGTGTTCACCACTCTCAGGGGTCTCTGTGTAGTTAACACAAATCACTGGAGGCCCAGAGCTCTCAACCTGTAATAACCCAGTTTAATCATTATTAAAGTACTATCTGATGGCTTACAATGAGAGCAGAGCGGCCAAACACTTCTAGTTGGTGATCAACTTTTCAGAGAAGCCCATCAGGGACTCGTCATCCACCTGAACGGCTGTAAATGGCATTGAGATGGGAACATTTCTGAATGAAGGTCCTGTAAATTGAGACGTGTCCTCTGGGGTTTTTCACACTTTCTGATGACTAGCATTGCAGGCTAATTACAGTAGCAGCACTATACTAACTTTGCAGCAGCTCAAGTGATTTCATAACAATGTAGTTTTAGAAGTTCAGTGTGTTCCGTTCCTGCTTTTTTTCTTTTTTCTTTTTTTTTTTAACACCACATTGAATTGTAAAACGCAAGCAACCAGAAGTCATTTGTTTTTAATGAGACCTGATCCAGAGACCAGCAGCACAGAGGCACAGAGATGAGCTCCAGTGGTTTCTTCCATGTGTGAACACCTTTCATTTGTAGAGCTGGAAAATCTAAATTGAATCAGCTTGTTCGTCCAGTTTTTGCAAATGAATGGTTTACAAAAAATTTCAGGTTTCAAAACTTCAAATATTCTAGTCCCTTGATTTTAGGTTTTGTTAAATACTGCATTTTTTATTATTATTTCATGTCATTATATGTATTACATTAGGTTGTATTATAGTTTTATGTAGCATAAAAAATTCAGGAATAAATTCAAAAATACATTTGATCAAAAATACAGTAAAACACTATATTGTAAAATATTATTACAATTTAAAATAACTGTTTTATATTTTACAATATATTTTTTTTTTTATTATTTATGTATATTTATGATTGAAAATGGTTGCCAAGTATGCAAATCAATTAAAAATAGTTCAGATGAGCTCTTATTTACATGTCAGTTACTCAAATAGAGTTTCCCTACATGTGGAAAGGGGATGTTTTCAAATTTAGACATGTCCTTTCACATAATGAAGCACCTTTGTTGTGTGGATTTAAAAACAAGCAGGTTGTTCAATAATAATTGGATTTTGCTTTGAAGCTAATGTGCGGTTTGTTGACATAGCTGCAATACTTCTAATTTCCCCCCATTATATTCATTCTTTGGGAAAGTCTTGTGCTCAAGCAAGGGTTGTAAGTGAAGGTGACCTGTTGTACGGGAAGCATGGGAACGGTTCCTCGAGGAAAGATAGAGACTGAGGGAGATATGGTGAGATGAAGAGCATGGTTGCCTGGATACTGCTGGATGCTGAGCCGCGGTACAACGGCCCACTTCAAGCTCATTGTGTACACAGCTGAGGAGAGGAGAACAGTTGTGTGAAATTGGTTGCGTCAATTGAATCAAGTGATGATGCTATTCTGGGCCATCTTCCATATCTCTGCCTCCACTTGGATGAAAACAGAAAATAAAAAAAGTGTTTGCATAACTTAAGCCGTAGACTTCACAGCCATAAATAACACAAAATGTGTCTTTCTGCATGTTTGCTGGGAAACATATTGTAACTAATGTGAGCTTTTCTTTCTTGGTCGAAGTCTTTGATATGCATTAGCTTTCTGTAATTAGTTCCCATATATTATTTGTCTTAATATGATTACAGAATAATTGTAGCGCTGTAATAATTACCGGTTTGTATATAAGAATGTGCTAAGGGGAAAACAAAAACAAGCTTTAATTACATTACGTGTTTGTTTTTAGCAGACACTTTAATCTGTTTCACTCTCAACTGATACTAAGTGTACAATTTATGTTAAAGTCAAAATGAAATAAAAATGTATTTACTTTCTTAAGTGCATTATTTATTTATTAAGGAAGGGTTGTCTTTGTAAACTTTTAGCAATTTGCGCTGCCCCTGAAACGATTTAGTTTACACACACACACACACACACACACACACACACACACATGGGGCTTTCTGTCACTGTTAAAGGTAGAAAAACCTTGTTTTAGAATCAATTTTATATTCGCTACAAATATAGTTTGATGTATTATCCAATGAAAAAAATACAAGGCCTTTGATTTTGTTCATGTAAACTGAAAAAAAAATAATTTCACATATATTTCACAACAGTTTTTGACTTCTTTGAATAGTGAGAAGTGTCTATATTACAAGTCGAAGAGAAAGAACTGAAAACATTAATAATACATATGAAATGTTGTATATACACTACCAGTCAAAAGTTTGGAATAATTAAGAGTTTTGTCCAAGTTAACTGATGAAAAATAATAATTGATGAAAAATACAGTAGAAACAGTAATATTGCTAAATATTATTACAATTTAAAATAACTGTTTTCTATTTTAATATAATTTAAATTGTAATTTATTCCTGTGATGGCAAAAATTAACATAAGCGCATAAGAGACTTCTTTAAAAAAAAACATCTTACGTCTATATATATATGTATGTGTGTGTGTGTGTGTGTGTGTGTGTGTGTATGTGTATATATAGATAGATGGATAGATGGATAGGTGTATGTTGAAATTAAATATTTTGAAGATAAATATAAATATTAAAATAATACACTGTAAAAAATGATTTTTCAAAGTTATAAAAAGTTTTTTTTGTATAATTCAGTATATTAATTGTTGTTTCTTTGTAGTTATTTGTAAAGTTTACTAGCAATTTCTGAGTGAAAATTGTTTCAAATAAAATCCTACACTTTTTCAGTGTATAAAATATAATTTTTTGAATAATGTGTAAATGACTAATGACTACTAATGAATTATACACAATAAAAAAAAACAATAATGTGTATTATATCGTTTTATTTCATGTTGATTTTCAACAAAAAAAACAACAACATGTCAGTCACTTTAAACAGTCACCTCTTTTCAGTGGCACTTCTGTCAGCACATGAAATGTAAAGCATTTATTCATTGTTTACTGAGTATTTGACATTGTAGGGTGAGAGATTGTTTTGTTCAAGAGTTCTTTGTTCAAAATAAAGACCTTCATTTGACTCTCTTCACCTCTGTTCAGACGGCAGAGCTCTTGCTGTTGGGGGAATGGGAGCAGACCTCCTGCCTAGAAGTGTTCTCCAGCAGTACGACCTTCGCAAGGACATGTGGGCGCTCCTTCCGCCCATGCCCACCCCGCGCTACGATACCAGCATCTGCCTACTGGGCTCCAAAATCTACGTGGCAGGTTTGCTGAGCAGAGAGAGTCCTTGTGTATCTGTAATCTCCTTGTGCATTCAATACTTTGTGTGTATGTGTGTAACTGACCTTGCTGTACTTTTAGGGACAAAATTGCTGAAAGAAAAAGTCCCATGAAGTTAGCTAAATCTGAACAAATATATAAATAACAGGGTTTCGGCAGGTCTTCAACAGGTTTTCAGAAGTCCGAATTGACCATTTTACAAATTAAGGCCTTAAAAAAGGTCTTAAACCGGAGCAGAAAGTCTTAAATTCATAAAGTTGTAGCATTCAATGAAATCTTCCTCTGCATTTTTGTCTTGTTTTCCAGTACAAAAATCTACATCATTAAATTAAGATGCATTTACTTGAGAAAATGAAGATATTAGGTCTTGTTTTCTGAGAAACTGAACAAAATTATGTGAGTTTATACTTCAAACAAGAACAAATATCTGCCAATTGAGTACAAAAACTTGTTTTCCCTTTGGATTTTTTTAAGATCACTGGCAGATGTTTGTTCTTGCTTTAATAAGTTTCTCTGAAAACAAGACTTCTTATTTTATGCCATTTTGCTTATCAAGTAAATATATCTTTATTTAAAATCTTTAGGCATTTGCACTGGGGGAAAAAACACAAAAATACTATGAAAAAGCATCATGCAGTGTGATCAGAAGGTGCAATAAAAGATACTTCCATATTCTAGTTAAGCATTGTTTTGTAGTATTTTTTGTAAAACTGTTTCTAATACAACTCATTGTTCGACATCTACATTTAGAGAACATATTGACATATTGTGTTCCTTAAAATTTCTTTAGTTGGTTTTAAAAAGGTCTTTAAACTGTTTTAAATGTACCTTTAAAAAATCTACAGGAACCCTGACATAAATAAAACTCCAAATGATATTCAAAGAGATTATTGTTTTATAAAATCAGATCTGAAGATATTTGGTGCTTCCAATGCAAAAATGACCAATCACCATCAATATCTCTGTTCCATCAGGTGGACGTCAGTGTAAGCGTTTGGTGAAGGCGTTTGAAGTCTTTGACATAGAAAGCCGCACCTGGTCCTCTCTACCCAGCCTGCCCTGCAAGAGATCTTATTCTGGGGTCTTATGGGACAGCGCCGGGCATCTCTGCTGGTTAGGAGGGCTCAGACAAGGCGGAATACACCAAAGTTCAAAGTTTACCAAGAATGTTAACATCTTCGACACCAACCAAGGTAAATTAGCTAGACGTACCAACAGTATGAAAGCACGTCTCTCATATTTACATCCAAATGGCAATGAATTCACATAGAACAGAACTGAAGCTATAAGATGCTTAAATTGTCTGTATTCAGTCAGATTTGGGGTTAGTAATATTTTATTTTAAGAAATATTTTTATTCAGCAGGGATGCATTAAATTGATCAAAAGTAATAAAGACATTTATAATGTGATAAAAGTTTTCTATTTCAAATAAATGATATTCTTTTGAGCTTTATATTCATCAAAGAATCCTGAAAACAAATGCAGCACATTTTTCATAACAAATATTAAGCAGCACAACTGTTTTCATCATTGATAGTAATCAGCATATTAGAATGATTTCTGAAGGATCATGTGACACTGAAGACTGGAGTAATGATGCTGAAAATTCAGCATTGAATCACAGGTATAAATTGCATTTTAAAATATATTGCAATAAAAAAAATAATTCACAATAGTACTGTTTTTGACTGTATTATTGATTAAATAAATGTAGCATTGGTGAGCATAAGAGACTTCTTTCAAAAACATTTTAAAAAAAAAACTTACTAACCCCAAACTTCTGAATGGTATTGTGTGTTACTTCATAAAATGCTAGACTGCAAAAGATTGTGTTGATAAATAGTGTATTTTATCCACATTGCCTGTTGAAAAAGATGAAAAAACAGCTGAAAAGAGGCCAAAACCCCTATAAAATCAACGTCTTAGACCAACTTAAACAGTCCCGGAAACTAATAGTACTAATTAGTGCTGAACTAATACTGCACTCTAAAAAATGCTGGGTTAAATACAACCCAGTGCTGGGTAAAATAGGGACAAACCCAGCAATTGGGTTGTTTTGACCCAGCATTTTTTTGACCCAGTTACTACCCAGAAGGTTGGGTTAAACATTTAACCCAACCACTGGGTCAAAACAGCCCAATTGCTGGGTTTGTCCCTATTTTACCCAGCATTTTTTAGAGTGTGTAACTTGTGAATATAGGCACCAAATTAAATAAGCGCTGCTTGTGCATGTGGCATGAAACAAGCCTTAGTTTTAATCTGTGAAATCTCCAAGAAAAAAATGTTTTAGCTGTTGAATGCGTATCAGCAAAAAATGTTTCAATGCACAAATATATTAGTAATCTCGGTAACCGTTCCCTTTTTTATTCGATTTTTTTTTTCTCGGATTAACCCAAAAAAGGGGACGGAAAGATACAAGGTGTGACAAAACGTAAGACCTGCTGAAATGAGTTATTGATTTCTCTCCAGCTTCTCACGCTTTTTCTTCCTCTACATCGTTTCCGTTCAAATCTGATCTTTTCTAATCAGATTCAGCAGATGGGAAAATTTGACATTTTTTGGCCCCAAGGGCGATAAAAAAAAGTTCCTATCGTAAGTGGGCAGCGAGGAGGTCATAGTGAACAACTGAACTGTGCACGCTGCCGTATGAATCATTTCTCTCTTTTTTAATTATTCCATTATTGGCGCATGTGTCAGTCAACAGGTGCGTGAGCCGCCGTTCACAGAGCAGCACGAGGGATTAAGCCTCGCTATCTAATTTCCTTCTGCCCGAATCTGCCACCGGCAATAATAGCCCTCGCGTGCAAAGTCTCCCAATCTAATATAACTAGGCGATAAGATCGTGGGATAGGAGGGGGGCGTTAAATGATGCTATTCAGAAACACATTGTCATCCCTTATCCGTAGCTCATCCAGATAGATAGTTAAGCACATCTGCTCTTTTGTCTTAACGCGGGCTGCTGCAGAGAGGGTTATAGCCCAAGAAAATCCCAGTTTGTAGGCAAGATGGATGTGTTCTTTATTAAAGATCCAACTTTACACTGTGTACTTGCTAACTGAGCAGCGTTAGACCCAGAACAGCATGTTTTCATAACTTTATGCCAAATGAACAGGCATCAGGACAGACCCCAGCACCAGTTTGAAGGGTATTATGATTTTGCATTTGAATAAAAAGCATGCTTGGCATCAGAAAAAGTGAAAGGGCATCACCGTTCAGAAGAAAAAGCTTCAGATTTTCGTCCAACAACAGAGCGAGCGTTGCACGCCAAGGGCCGAAAGTCAATATCCTGTCAAAAGTTGACAGACCCTTCATTGCTCATTCAAGTCGGACAATTTGATCCTGATCTAAATTGCCAAATTTGCAGCAAAACATCAATAAATTATTTATTTAAAATCACCGGAGACAAACAAATTCACAAAGCAAAGTCTTGTTGTCCACTGACTACTGTACATAGGCTGCTACCTTTTAAAGCAGCTTCCTGACTGAATATTGCAAAAGGTCTTTGAATACCATAAAGTCAACATTGCAGTTAATTTTGGCCAAGAACCACCCACTTAGACCAGAAGAGATCATCTGACTGACATGTAAAGCAAACAACCACAGTTTGTCAACTTTACATTTACATTATGTAATGTTTTTAAAGCAATGTCAGCATGATGCTAAATTAATGATGTTAGAACTATTGGGTAAAAAGTCTGTTTTAATTAGGATGATATTTTTTAAATATATATTCCTGTTTTAAAAACCACACACACACACACACACACACATATATATATATATATATATATATATATTCTTGTGAATATATATATATTCTTGTGATGCAAAGCTGAATTTTCATCAGCCAATTATTTCTAAAGGATCATGTGACACTGAAAACTGGAGTAATGACTGATGAAAATTGAGTTTTGCCATCACAGGAATAAATTCAATTTTAAAATATATTAAAATACAAAAGCATTATTTTAAATTGTAGTAATATTTCACAGTATTACAGTTTTTACTGTTTTTTTATTAAATAAATGCAGCCTTAATGAGCAGAAGAAACTTCTTTAAAGAAACATTAAACATTATTACTAATTGTAATAAAACATATATAATTGCAAAAATATTTTTTTTATACATTTGTGTGTGTGTGTGTGTGTGTGTGTGTTTTATACTGGAAAGTATAATTGATTGGTTAATAATTTTAAAAAATGTTTTAATAAGCATTTATTTCCACTCATCCACCATCTTGGATTTCTTTTTTCACATCACTTGATGCAGTGCATATTAGGGTTGCCTGACCTGACTGCAATGGAAAAAAAAAACATGTTGTGTTAATCTTCCATTTTGATATGGTTTTGATCTGTTATATATACATAAGTGCTGTGAGCGTCTGCATACGTGTCTTTGCAATCAAAAGCTCATCACATTTTTTAACAGTATTTCAACAAGCCTGACAGAAAGAGTTGCCATCTCTCAAACAACCATCATTGTTCTAATGGCGTTTGTGTGTTATTGGCTGTGATTGTGCTTTTTGGCCGATTAGGTTGACTGAGAAATGTAAATAATGTGCCACATTAATGTTCCACATCTGTGAAACACAGAAAGCTGCACAGCTCCAACTTCCTTTTCAAAGCAATTAAAGTGTTCTAGCTCAGTAATTTTTTTGAAGAAATGGCCCTTGCATTTATTACGGCAAGCCACTGGCTTAGTTATTAGACAGATATTAGATCCTGCAAATGGAAAACAGTCTGTCAGCTTTAATCGACAAGCTCGCAGGCTCTAATCTGCAGGAAAGTCATTTATTTCCATTTCCTCTTTAGTTGTTTTAGGAAAAGCTGTCAAACGAAACAGTTTCAAATCACATATAAGCCAGTTAAATTTTCTTTCACTCATTGTATAAATCTGATTTATTGTGTCAGATTTGAAATCACACAGTGTTAATGGTGAATAGTGTGTAATTTATCCAAAGTTAAAATTCTCTCTTGCGTCCCATTTTAATGTACAAACTATATGTAAGCCATTGTTAAAATGACACCTTTTAAATTGCTGCTAGTGGTGGAGAAATTACATACTTCACCTTTAATATTTAGCAATTTATTATTGTTATGTGTTTGTGTCCATTTTGATTCGTAGGAACTTGGTTGAAATCAGAGGACACTGTACCCTTGAAAACCAAGCGAGCAGACTTTGCCGCAGCCATAGTGCGAGGCAGAATGATCGTGGCGGGAGGTCTAGGTATGGAAGTTGCACCATAATAAATGTATCTACTGCACAGTTGCTGGCACGGTTGGTGTCATCCAAACATCTGCTCTCTTCATACAGGCCATCAGCCATCAGTGCTGGACACTGTTGAAGCCTTCCATCCCCAAAAAAGAAAATGGGAGAGGCTGTCGCCTATGTCGATGCCGCGTTGCTCTGCCTCCAGCATCGTGATCCGTGATCGCTTACTGGTAGTAGGAGGTGTCAATCAAGTCCCAAGCTCCGCCCACGAGATTCTATATGTAAAAGAGGAGGAGATTCTTTAACCATAGAACGTTAGGTTTACACATCAGAAAAAGTTGCCTTCCGTGATCAAGTAAAACACAAATTTTCACATTAAAGGTGCGGTCGTGTTTACCATTACTTTGGGAAATTTTGCAAGCAAAATCCAGTCTGCGCAATTGAGAGTTTTCACATGAAAGGTGAAAAAGTTCTCAATTCAGTTGGCGCTCTTCAAGTTGGTCATACAAATCTGCCGCGCTGAGAAATAGCAATCTGCTTGGTTTGAAAGTGATTCTGTGTGAGCTGTGCTTCATACATATCTACGCTTTTGACAGTGGACCTTTTTTTGTGAAATTTTGGGGGCAAAATCCAGATCTGACCAATTGGGAGTTTTGCATAAGGGCGAAAAATTTTCCAGCACAGTTTTTGCTCTTGTTTAAAGGGGTCATATGATGTTGCTAAAAAGAACATTATTTTGTGTATTTGGTGTAATGAAATGTGTTTATGTTTAAAAAAAACATTATTTTCCACATACTGTACATTATTGTTTCTCCTCTATGCCCTGCCTTTCTGAAACGCGTCGATTTTTACAAAGCTCATCGTTCTGAAAAGCGAGGTGTACACTGATTTTCCAGCTAGTGCATTGTGATTGGCCGAATTCCTCAAGCGTGTGACGGAAATGTTACGCCCCTTACCATACTGTGATGCCTGTCAGGTCGGAGCGATGATTCAAAAACATGAAAACCCATTATAGACCAGGCATTCGTTGCATCCAGGGAGGACATAATTATGGATTATAATGACTTATACTGTCTTTTTACACGTTGC